ACGCGCCCCAACCACCCCACCCCATTCGCGTCCCCGCCTCTTTTACACTCTCCACTCTTGCCCCTCCCCCTCAGCGCCTCACCCACCCACCCCACCCCATTCGCGTTCCCGCCTCCTTCACCCTCCCATGCCCTCGCCCCTTCCCCTTGGCCCCAGGACCTGGAGGACTCGGACTTCCGCCTCATAATGGGGGAGCTTCTGCCCTACGTCAAGGTGGGGGTGCAGCAGGCTGTGCGGGGTGAATGCGCGGAGACTGACGCACAAACAGCTTCTGGGGAGGTGTGGTGGATTGTTACTTCTTGAGCACTGCCCTGCACGTTCCGCACGGCCTTATGCTGGGTAGACTGACTTCATCGTTGTTGGTTGTGTCGTTGGTTGTGTTGAAGGGCGTTTTGTTGGTGGTGATGGTTGTGGTGCTACACTGTTGATTTTATGGCCCGTTCCCTGACCTCTTTCTGACAACCTCGGACCTCGGCCTCGGCGCCGCCCTGCCCCCCAACAGGACAAGCAGGCGGACGCGCTGCGGGAGAAGCTGGTGATGCGCCTGGAGCACGCCCCCGGGGGGCCCAAGGAGTGGCGCTGGCTGGCGTTCTGCCTGGTGCAGGTGGGCGGCTGCGGTTTGATGTGCTGCATGTGTTCGAGAGGATGCTTGCCGCTGCGGCTGACGCGGCTGCTGGTGTTGCTGTTGCTGCTGTTGCTGCCGCCGCTGCCGCTGGCGTTGTTGCGTGTGCTGCCACTGAGCAGACCAGCCTCGCGAATCGAGCAAGGGGCAAGGCGCATTCGTCGTGTTAGGTCAGTAGGCCGTGCCGAAGAGCGCACACCAGCCCTCACAACCCCCTGCCTCCACTTCTGGGGTCCCCTGCAAAAATTCCTCACAGCTGGGGTACAGCGAGAAGGCCACGCGGCGCTTCATGGACTTGACGCGGGCTTACAAGCACACCCTGGCGGAGGACGAGGTGGGCGGAGAGAGTGGCGGGCATGCCGACGTGCTGTGGGGACGCGCGCGACCCAGTTGGGCGCGGGCGGGCGATGCGTTCCGTCCGGCAGGCGTCGTTTGCCAGAACAAAACTGTCGAAAATCAAGCCGTGAAGTACACAATGACAGGCCCAGCCAAGGCTGCGGTGCCAACGTCGGACGCGCCTCCACCCACCCACCCCCCAAAACCTCATGCAACAATTCAAAGGTGTTCGAAGTGTTTGTCAGCCTCGCTGACAAGGCGCGCAAGGCCCCGCCGTCGGCGTCGGCCAGGGCCGGCGGCGCGGGGGGCGACTTGAAAGAGAAGGCGGAGGAGTGGGCGCGGCAGCTGCAGGCGAGCGTCTGGTCGTCTGCCGCTCAGGCTCCACAGAGCGCTCTGGCGCTGAGGCACCCATTCGTCGCAGCGGCGCCGCGCGGCGTTGGGAGTCGCAGCCGCGCCACGCGGCGTTGAGGGGACAAGGTTGAGAGTGACTTGTAGATGCTTTGATTTGGTGCGTTGGCAGTTTGGACCCTGCGCTGAAACTCCCACCAACCCCCTCTACCCCATGTCCTCACTAGCCCGTCCTGTGGCGTTTCCAAGTTTGACTATTGTACGCATGCCTCACTCCTCACAGGAGGCGCGAGAGGCGGCCCTCGAGGCGCGCTCGGTCGAGGCGGCCGCCGCGGCGGCGCAGCGCGGGCGCAGGCGGTCCGCCGCGGCGGCGGCCGCCGGGGAAAATGGGGGCGGCGCTGCGGGCCACGGCGGCGAGGATGCAGAGGAGGAGGGCTCCGAAGGCGGCGGCGCTGCAGAGGCGAACACCGATGGGAGCGGTGATCTTGCCGCACACGGTCGCGGGCGGGCCGGCCCCGGGCCGGCTGAGGCCGCCGCGGCCGCGGAGGGCGGCGAGGGAGGGGCGGCCGCGGCGCCGGGCGCAGACGGCGAGGACGGCGCGGAGGGGGAGATCGTGCTTATGCGGTCACAGCCCGCCTTTGAGGAACCGGACGACGAGCATGGTGGCATGGTGGATGGTGGGGCCGCCGAGGGGCTCAGAGAGCAGCTAGAGAAGCTGGCAGTCGGGCCGAGCGGCCACGCGCGCGCGCGCGGCGGCAAGGCCGCCGCCCGCGGCAGGGGCGGAGGCAGCGGCGCGGTCGGGCGGCGCGCGGCGGCCGGCGCGGCCGGGCGGCGGGGGACGGCGTCTAGGGGGGACGGGGATGCGACGCCGTCGAGCAGCGGGGAAGAGCAGAGCAGCGGCGGCTCGAGCTCCGAGGCTTCGTCAGACGGCAGCGACAGCGATAGCGGCGCGGCTGCTGCTGCTGCTGCTGCTGCCGCTGCAAAGGCGGCGGCGGCGCGGCGGCCGGCGGCGCGGGCCCGCAACGGCCGGCGTGCTGTTGTGCTGAGCGACAGCAGCGAGGAGGATTAGGGGTGGGATTAGGCCGTGTGGGTTGTTGCAGCGTCCCGCAGTTGCCCGCTTCTAGTAACACTGCTGTACTGCTTCAGTACTCTACCCCTGCGCCAACCGCCAATTCTGAAGGCATCCAGGCTCATGATGTTGCAATTTACGTGCATCGACTTCGCATACTTGACTGTATGATTTGGGTGGCGACCGGTCACGCAGCTCACAAAATCGGCGCCCGCAAAGGCCCCGTGTACATGCCGGCATGCGTTGCGCTGCAAGGCGCGCGTGCAAGGCTGGGCTTGCAGATTGGCATGAATTGGCGCAAAGCATGGCTGGGCGCGCGGCTCCACACAAGCAGGGCGTTTGAGCACACACAGCCCGTCCAGCCGTATCATCAAGGCCTAGGCGTGCACAGGGGCGGCCAGGGTGTAGAAGGGCCAGGGGGCCGATGCCGCAAATGGACGGAGACGCGCTGCTGCTGCTGCTGCTGCTGC